TAAGCAATGCATACATTTGACCACAAAACATTATTTAAATATTAATGGGCTTACAAAATCAACTTGGATGAGGAAAACAGTGCCCGTTCATTTTGCCATGTTTTGGAAGCTTGGTTGAGGACAAACTTTCTCATACAGACAATAAAGCAAAGGTATTCATTTTTTTATTCCATTTTGTGGTAAATTCCCCAGTTTGTAATGTACTTCTGAAAGAAAGTACAGAAAGAAAAATCTCACTCACTCAGAGGCAATCCAGCACCACAATTGGTTACCCTGTAAAAATAGTGTACTTTTAAATTTATTTTTATACTTTATGGATAAACCTCAATATTTGTACCAACCAAATAAAATGGCAAAGAATACCTCTTTAACAAAAATGTAACATCATAAGCTTTACAATCCTTTTGCAGGACCAGAGTAGTTGCATTATACCCAGTCAGTTTTTACTTAGCCACGTTTTTTTACACCGATTATTGCCTGTTTTTACTTTTTTTGAGTGAAAGTTTTTTTCAATTTTCTTTTTTTAAACAGTGTGTCAGGGAAACATCATACACATATAATACATTGAGTGCACAGCTTTCTTGACATATACTGCTAACTCTGCATGTACACATATAAAATACAATTCTAAAATGGACAAAAACATGTTACTATTATTAAGATGTTATTATATTCTTACTGAAATGGAAATAACAAAAATGTATTGACAATGACGATTCTATGTGCTCAATGACAATTCATTTTATTTATGGATCTAAGTTGGCAGCTATATTCTTCAGAGAGCCATGAAAGAGCACTACATAAAACTAATTTACAATTTATATTATGTGGTTTATATATCGAAGCCATGTTGCTAAAGGAAAAACAAAATATAGACAAAAAACAACTAGTGTCTTTTATATCAACTTTCCAACAAGTATACATACATTTTTTCCATAAATATTAGTGAAGATAAGTATAATTAAAATATATTTTAAAATAAAAATAAGAAAATAAACTAAAGGACTTGTCAGCAACAGTGACAAATGTATAACAACAATATACAAACAATGAATTGAAACAGTTATTTCACTCCCTATGAGATTGTCTTATAAAGTAACATCACCGTATCTTTTTAAATAAAAATGTAATGGTTTATTTGTTGTCCAATTCTATACAATGTGCCAAATTTGAACCAAGGCATCAATATATAAAGTGTTTTCTTTTCCACCTCAGAAAAATGTAACTATCATGTTTTTTGTTGTTGGTGTATTTCCACCTCTCGACCATCGGGGGGCGCAGTTTCCCACGCAGCAGCAGCCCTCTCCGTTTGGCTGAATCATTTCATCCATCATACCCAGAATGCAAAGTGGGACGCCGAAACCCCAGCAGCAGCAGCAGCAGCAGCAGCCTCAAGCTTTTCAGGTTATCATGGCGATAAAAGACACATCTTCCCCTTGAGCCTCCGCAGCAACAAAGGATTTGTTCCTCCGCTACATGAAAACACTCACCGAGTCTCAGGCAGCGCGGAGACCTGCCGGAGTTTTAGCCCAGATTGGAGAAAGGACATAGCGAGTGACCGTCATGGCAGCGTCGGAGCTGTACACAAAGGTAAAACAAGTGTATATTTCTATGTATGGAGCTAGCTGCTAGCATTCAGATAATTAAACGTCCTACTCGCAGGTCCATGCTAAAACAAATGTCTTCACCTGTTTCTGGACGTTGTCTCTGTTAACATGCTGACAGCTTGATTTCCGCTGTAGGGGGAAAATGTGTGTGTGTTGTTTTTTTTTCGGTTTTGGTTTAAAATGAATGAAAATGATGGTGAAAGCACATAAAAGCAGCTGCTGTGACCCGCGGAGGGATGTGTTTGGGTGTTTAAATATAGATGGTAGCGCTGAAATGGGTGCAGCTCACAGAAAGACAACAGATGCGGCAGAGTCGTCCTTTCTCCTTCACCTACCACAATACAAAATTACCTTTATTAATATATATATATATATTATCGTTTGTCACCTTGTTTGTACACCTAAAACAACATGTCCATCCCCCGGGCCTTCATATTTATCCCCATCCCGCTCTGGAGGCTAGGGGGCTGGGGTGATGCAAAGGCGGTGCCAGCCATCATGGAGGCTCTTACGATCTTAAAACATAACATTTGGCGTCAGCTCCAACCTGTGCATCAACCTGCCCTCCTGTTACTGTTTTATTTTGACGTTAGAGAGTGTGTGGGGGGCTTGTGACCCGGTTCTCTGGGCTGTGAGAACCGAGAACCGCAGGTTGGGTACCGCTGAGATGCTGCGACGAGCGCCGCATCCGGACACTTTAGCATCCTTTAGCATCCTTTAGCATCCAGGTTTAGACCAGCAGAGGCCCTGAAGCCTCAGTGGAGCTTTCTAATGCTCGCTGAAGAGAATATGACACTGCTGCTGCCTGCGAGGCCTGTTACACACAACACTCACAAGGTCATAAGTGCTGCTGCTGTATTTCTGTAATTGTAAATGTGAAACTAAGAAAGTGGTGTGTGTGTGTGTGTGTGTGTGAGGGAGGGAGGGAGGGAGGGAGAGAGGTTGAAGGAGATGAGTCACCCATCCCCCTGCTTTCAAAGCTGGTGTGTTCAGCTTGAATAAGGTTGTGGTGGAGGGGACACATGAAAAAACCAGCTGATGACGATTGCTATTGGAATTCAATGGATTTGTCATTTCAGACACTTTTATTTCAATTGGATCTGACATGTTGATGGAAGTTGTTGTTGTTTTCCCCCCCAGCCTCTGTTATCATAAGTGCTTAGAGAGAGAAAGACCGTGTCTTTGAAGCAGATGACACAGATTTGAACCCTGTGTCAGCAAATGGAGACTCTGGTAAAAAGTCCTATCTGACTCCTGGTCTACTGTCCTGTGTCTGACCCTGACCTCTGATCTTAAAGGAGAGAGGCAAACAAAAAGGCACCAATCGAGTGTTGCTCAAACAATTGTTTGATTATTTGAGTGATGAAAATTGACCAGCAACAATTTATCGATTCAATTCAATCAAAAAGGTCACTGGTTCCAGCTTTTCTTTTAGTATTTTCTGACATCTTATAAACCAAGCAATTAATTGATTGAAAACGAAACGTATCAGAGCTGTACACAGAGGTAAAAGAAGTGTATATTTGTGTTTATAGCTGGGTGCTAGCAGGTTGGCTGTGCTTTATTCCCCTAATTAAATGTCCTTGTCACACATTCTGCATCCTGTGAAACGCCTTTAACTTTCCAGGATATTTTACCAACAAACAGCTTCAATCTTTATTATGGAAAATGTGTCTTTTCTAATAGTGATGGTGGCTTTAAGTGAATGAAAATGGCTTTGAACCACATAAAGCATGCTGGCCTGCCATGCAGTGTGATGTCAGATTAATCTAAAAAGAAAATAGTGGTTAATTGCAATCTCAGTTGCATTATAGATTTAGGAACTAAAGGGGTTGCTGCATGCTTGTGATCTCTTTGTATGTGTTGGCTTTGCTTAAGTAGCACCTGGGTGTGAAATTACAACCAGCCATCAAACAACATGCGAGGAGATTTTGGCTGAGGCTGCTAAATCTGTTTCCACTGCCAGCAGGGTTTGGCTCGTCGCCAGCCATCAATCTTATTCCTTAAGAATCTTGTTGGGTGTTCAATGGTTTTTGCAAAGGAATAGGGGAAACTTTGGATGTACGTGTGAGTGTGGCAGGGAAACCCAAAGTTAGTTTCTACTTTGAATGGTACAGTCTGTTTTAGAAGTCAGCTTCTGATGTCAGACCCCTCTCTGTGATTTACTTTTCCAACAGAGGGGTGGAAAACACTCTGCCCTTTGTGTGTATGAGTCAGCCTTATAGAAGCTTATTGAGTGGGTCTGAGCTGCTTGGTTAACACGCACAAATACACACACAAATACACACACAGCTTCAAATTCAGCCCCAATCTACGTTTGGCTCGTGTCTGACCTGACCGCCAGTGTAAAGAGAGGTGACACAGAGGTGAATGTAGATTTTGTTTGTCGGAGGAGAAGGAAGAATCTGCAGTTGTAAACAATAATCCAACATTTTTTTTATTAGATTTTACTGTTCCATTCACTTGAGCCAAATAAAGTAAGTAAATAAGATCAGGATCAAAACAAGTCAGAGGTTGAATATGAATGAAACAGTGCTGTGTAACTTAAAGTAGTGATGGAAGAGAGACAGTTTCAGAAATACATAACTTCATTTGAAGGTGTGTTTTATTGTACCAAGAGAACAAGTGCATATTATTTATTTTTAGACTTTCTAGACTCAGCATCGATTCATGAACCTTAACTGAAGAATACTACTGTGTAGAAGAGACAGAGACAGGTATATGTTGCCTCCATTTCTCAAAGGCAATGGTTCTCAGGAGGAGCTGATAGTGAGGCACGAATGAACTATGCTCGCCACGTTATGTCACGATAAATTACTGTAATGATTCCTTTCTTATTCTTTAATAATAATGACGGTAATACAAAACAGGCCCTTTAAAAGTATGTGATTATGTTTCATTACATTAAGATTTTTGGGTAACTGACGAGGAAAACATACAGTTTTTCAGAATACAGGTCTCATTCATGCACATATACTGTATGTTGTGGTGCCTTCAGGTTCACATCACTCTACAGACCTTGGTGACAAACTGCATAGAACCTTTGCCTCTTTAACTCTCGTACACACATACATGCCACTGGTGCACATGTGCCATCATTCATATGTCAAACCGCCAGACAGCTGTTACACACTTAAAAGGCTGTTAGCAAAGGAAAGACGCCTTTGACTCCGCATCGAGTCCATGGGGTTGGTGCCAGTGTATCAGCAGCAGAGATAAAGTGTTTGTATATATTGTTGCAGTGATTGTGTGATTGTACAATCTTTGTCCTGCCTGCATGTGGTACAGGACACTAAAAAGCTTCATGTTGCACATACGGCCACAGGGCAGGAGCGCTGTCATGAACAGCTGATGGGAAGGAAAGCACCTATTGTTGCATCACTTGTTTGGCGGTTTTCCAAAGCACAGCATGCTTGTCTGTTTCAACCAACAGAGCAGTGCAGTGGTTTTCTGTGATTTAGTATACAGTTATTTTAATTAAATGTATCCCCCTCCCTAATTTTCATCCAGCTGCATGGCTCCATGGATAGCAATGTCGGTCAGTCGGTCAGTTGGTTGATCCACCACTTGGCTGCAAACTGAAATATATAACAAGTATCGGATGGATTATCATGGAATTTGTAGCAGACATGCATGTTACCATCAGGATGAAGTGCAATAACTTTGGTGATCCCCTGACTTCTCCTCTAGCGCCATCTCCCAGTCAAAAATGACATTTCTACAGCATTTTGGTTTATTACGACTGCAAAACTAAAGACATTCCCATGAGCCTTAGCTGTGCTTTGTGTTTAGTGCAAATAAGCAGCTGTTACCGTGCCAACACGTTAAACTACGGTGGTGAACATTACTTATACATATATATTTCACAGTAGTTTAGTTGATATAAATACGCCGTGGAACAGAACAATCATTCGTTCTGCGCCGTAGGTGTCTCAACTGCATCCGGTGCCCAGTGTTACGTTATCTAATGTCAGTGGTTTATTTTTTTCTCCCCAGCTCTAATTAAGAGCATGTGCATTCGATTACTGAGATAACCTGGTTAAAGTAATTGCATAGTCATGTTGTATATGCTCTGGCATGTAGTCACTGCAGTCCTGTCCAGCACAGACGAACACACCGGGCAGGCGCACAGAGGAGGGCTGTTTATGGGTCAAAATGGTGATTCTGATTATTATGTTAAGCGTGACAGTGTAGAAATGTTCTCTTGTGATGATTTGCCGAACAAACCTTTAGCATCTTATATCAACATTGATTCAATTTTCAACTGGTATCGCAAAGTAAATTAAATATCATTGTCACACAACCCAAATACAATCCAATATTTGGTTTAGTAACCAACATTTTGATCAGCGTTTAGGTGTTCATAAAAAGCGCTCCTCTAAAACAAGAGGATACTTTCAGTCCAGCATGTAGGAACAAGATTCAGGTTTACTGCGTGTCTGTGCATCTGTCAGACGGTTGTTTTTTGGAGCCATGTCAGTGGCTTGTGGGAAAGTCTTGTTTTCTTGAGAGTCTGTCTGCCTCCCAGCTCATGTGATTGAGAAAGGAAGCCGGGAAGTTTGATAGACAGCCGGGATGGCCAGTCATCTGTCACAGGGCAGGGAACTTTAGGCAACGGTGGTGAACGCCGCTTGTGTCTGCAGACACAATGAGAAGGTTTCATCCAGCAGAGAGTTCTGGAGCTCAGCGCTCGATCAGCTAGTGTCTGGTCTTGTAGCGCGAGTGGCTGGAGGCATCCAGAAAGCCAGCAGAGTCACAGCATGAGCTAGAGACTTGGTAAAGAGACGATTAGAAGATGAACCGGGAGTTGGAGTATATGTTTGTCCAAGTAAGTTTTTGCTTCTTTTAAGCTTTCAGTTCTCATCCCATGCTTCCATTCATTGATTAAGTAGATATGTAGCCTGAAAGATCTTATTGTTAAAGGATGGATGGATTTTAAATCAAATTAAATAATTTGCTCTGTAGAAGGAGAATCTAATTTCG